AAGAAGAAGAAGAAGAAGAAGAAGAAGAAGAAGAAGAAGAAGAAGAAGAAGAACACTGATAACTATTCTCAACTTTCCGGGAAGCATACAACGCAAGCTGCGAATTACATGTGCTTAAACATCAACATACTTACAATATTTTTCAATATCTGTAGCCTGTTACCCATTCCCACTTAGGTGAAGTGAGGACCATTCGTGTGAAATCACTTTCGCAAAGGACACAACGTCGGGACTTCAACAGGGTTTGAACTCACGACCTTACAATTAAGACCCAAGATTTTCCGTAATTCCATACGCTAGTGGGCTAGGTTTTGCAACAGTCACACAAGCAGGCGGTACAGTCTTTCTTCTCGACAAACCCATAAAATAATCATTAATGTTTAAACTCCTTTGTACATGCATAGTGTCTCCTCTTCTGGTAAAAGTAAAATTGTCCCCCTCCCCCCGCCCCACACACACACACACAGACATCCGGAACTTACTTGACCTAATATTCATATCACATGTGTCCACTCTCCTTAGGATGACTTTTGGGTAGCCGTGACATCATTCTCAAAATACACTGTTTGGAAGTCTTAAGTCACTTAACAAGATAAACAATAAAACACACCTTCTCTCGCCATTCTGCCTTATCATCATCACTGCCTTTCTCCTAATGGGTCAGGGTATAGGCCACGAACAAACACTTTCCACCTTTCCCTATCCTGGTCTAGCTTCCTTATGTTATTCCAGTGGTTTTCAAACTTTTTTCGCCCACCGAGTCCCAGCGCCCCCTACTCCGCCCCAACTATCAATCTGACGTAATGGCATGCATAATATAATAACAATCACAAATAAAGAGAGAGTTCAAACAGCAGGGTAGAAAGTAACGTGCTTAAATTCTAATGATTTAGTTCTGAATATTAGTTGAGTCACAAATCACCATCATTACAGTCTTAAATTAAGCGTGGACGAGAGATAATAAAACACATTTTTCTTCAATCTTACGCAAGGGCATTGAGAGCAAAATACTGTCATGTTATGCATATAGTTGTCATCGGTACTAAACGACCAGTGTTTTTAACATCAATAAAAATAAAACATGTATTATCACATTTCCAGAAGCAAAACGCCAAAAAATAAATAAATATAAATAAAAACGCCCGTGATCATTGGTTTGAAAACAGATTGACATTATCTTAATGAAACGTTTTCTCCCATCAACGTGCTGCAATGTAGTGGCCTGAGATTTGTATCAAATATCTCCATTGTAGAAAATGCATGGATCTTAGTCTGTATTATCACCATCATCATCATCATCATCATCATCATCATCATCATCATCATCATCATCATCAGTTTCATCAGCAGTGGCAGCACGTGCACATAAAAAACTCTGTTAAACAAGTGAATGTTTTGCTTTAAAAAAAGGAAGAAAATAACATAAAAAGACACATTGAGATATCAAGTAAGGGTAAATTACGGAGTAAGCAAGCGCAAATAAGTTATTGACACTGCCCTACTGGGAAGGGTGGACCTGGTAAGACGGAACCAACTTATCAAGATCAGGTTTCAGATTGGTCAGTAGCAGATGCAAATCGCTACTCTTCGTCAGCAACCTTGTCACTGCACTGAATCCCCTTTCTACTACATAGGAGGCGGGAAAAGAGATGAACAACAACTTGATATTTTCCTACTTGGAGGGATATTTGTCTCAGTTTTCAAACAGATTGACTGGTACGGCTTTTTCAACAATGGTTTGATTTCAAAGTCACATTTCATCGTCAGAAGCTCTTCTTCAATTGCTACTTGCAAGTTATCATCTGTTTCAGTGTTCAATGGGTCCAGTATCCAGTATGGAATTTCCAGTTAAAAAATATCAGGAGGCTAAACCTTGTCTTCCTATCAGCATGCAAATCTGTGAGGTGGTTGCTATATATATTTGTAGTTCCTCGTCAGAAACGCGCCCTTCTTTCAGTGTCTTCGTCAAGCTAGGAAACTGAGAAATTTTCTTCTGACAATGTTTCGGCGGATCATTTCCAATTTTGACAAGAATGACGAAAGCCTTGATCAGGTTGGTGTCATCCCCCTGCAGCTCAAAGTTGAACTGGTTGAACTTCGTGAAAAGATCTGTGAGGAGCGCAATGTTGGTCTTGTGTTCTTTCAATTTATTGCAGAGATCACTGTCTGTTTCTTGAAAATAAAACTCCAGCACAGAGTCAAACAGGCAGAACAATAATCGTGTTCAACAGTTTCCTTTCGAGAGCCACCAGAATTCAGTGTGCAAAAGTAAGCATTGAAAGTACTCGTCATTTTCAGTGCGCAGCTGTTAAAATAGTCTCGAGTTCAAAGCGTGGACTTTGATCTTGTTCACCCACTTGATGCCAATGGCCAGTGTGTCGTGCAGACTATCATTCAGGTTTTTGCCCCCAAATTCTGTCAGTGAATGACACAGTAAACAGTAAATACTCCATGGACGGATTTATTCAAGAGAAGTTCATAAATTCACGTTTCCGACCTGCCTTCGACGGTGCCCCATCTGTTGCACAGGCAACTGTATTGGTCAGAGGGAAATTCTTGGACCACTTTGAAAATGGACTCCCCTTTGGTATCTGTTTCCAACACTTTAGCAAATAACAATTCTTGCATTATTTCCCCACCCTTTATGAACTGATATCCAGTGAAAGGCTGAGCTGACGTTCTTTCAGCATTTTGCACTGTGATTCCTCAACATTTGCTGACATCTCATCAATACGTCTTTGAATAGTATTGTCACTTAGTGGGAGAACTTTCAGCACAGGCTCCGGGGCACGTTGCAGGACTGTGCTGACCACCTCTCTGATCGCAGACAATATGAGGTCCTCACCAATAGCATGGTGTTTGCCTGCCTTTGTAACTAGCTGAGATAAATTATATGTTGCCTGTAAGCCTTCATCAGCTTGATCGACGTTGGCTGCAAACATCGGTTTAACTGATTTTCATTTCTGAAAATTTATCTTTAGAGTTTTGAAGTATGCCAGATCTTTGTCAGATTTGTCGTGATGAATCTT